TGGTAGATTACACTTTAGCTGTCCAATGTGATCAATTTTAAGTGTTCAAATTATTTCAATGTGATGGAAATTTTTGTGATGACCCATAAGAAGCACTGGACAGCTGTTTCGTCCTATGATGAACTCGTCATCAGTTGCGTAATTTTAGTCTCCTTATCAGAAATCGAACCGCGAACCCTCGAGTCGGAAGTACAAACCCTTACGCCGGAGTTACACACGATCGACGGTCATCACCTTGTGCGAATGGCTCAGTCAATTTAGACGGTGATTAGATTAGACCATTCGGTTTTTCACAGAAACCACAGACACTGTTGATGTACTTGGGTGTGGGTGTCACTCCTTGGGAGATCGTTAATTCCCCACGAGGTAATGCATTCCAATACGATGGAAATTTTCGTGAGGCCGAGCCGTTATTAGTTGGACGATGAATTGCCGTGGCCTGCTTCGAAACCTCACCGCACATTCTTCTACCCATTCGACACAAAATTCGGTTCCCGTATTTCCTATGCAATCAAAACCTTCCGTACGTCTCGAATAAGAAGGACCTCAGCGTCATTGTTCAAGACGCTGTTCTCACGATTGTTATCAGCCTACATTCGACCCCACATAGAGTACGCCATTCAAACATGGAATCCATGGCTGAAACGCGATCAAAAGATTCTGGAACGTTCACAAAGAATGGCTACCAAAATGGTCAAAGGACTGCATTCCAAGAGTTGTGCGGAAAGACTGTAATCACTGCAACTGTACTCCACACAGTATCGCCGCATTCGAGGAGACTTGATCTTGGTACACCAAATAATGTAGAACCCAGACCATGCATGTCGTTCAGGTTTTCCTTGTCGCCCAACACTCACTTGCGGAGGCACTCATTCAAATTAATGCTCCAAAAATGTCGACTAGAATACCGGCATCATTCACTTGCCCTCAGAGTATGTATTACTTGGAATTCTCTACCATCACACGCTGTTTCTGCGCCCACAACTGATTCATTCAAGCAAAAACTGGACGAAGCTTTGAAAAGTCTTAAATTTCAACATCCGTAGAAGCGCACGAAAAAAGGACGAATTGTGACATTCATCTACTTTGTATGAACTGTGAACCGATTTATCTGTGCCAAATCCTATGGGACTAGAAAAGCAACCGCTTGTAAGTATTTTCCATAATAAAACTTTGACTTTGACTTTGATTTTGAATAGACCAATCGATAGTCACTTTTCCTGAATGGAGAATGTGGTTAATCGAATACTGTTTAGACAAATATCGAATTCCAAGACCAAAACCGGAACCTCTCTGAATGGTGATTAAAAACATGGATTCGTTTGGACAATTTATGAATTGGCCTTAATCGGTTAGACTAGGGTCCGCATTGATTGATATTTGGTGTTGTTTAACCCGCGTGAGGCTTATTCCGACTACTTGAAATCAACTGATCTCTCTTCATGGATCGCATGTCCTCTGTTGCGCACACTCCGGCGTCTTCCTCCGATCAGCTGTTCACTTGTGTGACTCATGCATCAGATTTTGCTGGCTCAGTTCGCTGATTCCACCCATTCATCCCCTGTTGTTCCACATGTTTATTCCACCCAACTATGGAAACGAGCTTCGAGACAGAAAATATATTCACTATTTCAAATGGTTGATTTCACATTCATTGAGTCCTGTCTACTGATTGTCGCGCACACACTCAAAGTCACGTGATGAAAGACGATTTGGGGAAAAATCAGTTTCTGTCTTAGCAGTGATATTTCTCAATTGAGAATTTATCCCTTTTACCCGCTGTCGCGCGCGCGCGCGCTCTCTGTCTCTCAATTCACACAAAGCGGGTGCAGATAGAATGAATGATGCACGTAACCGGCATGGAAGACCTAATTTGGTTGGAGGCTTTCGATTTGAGTTAACAGATATTTCACGGTGTCCCTCTTCGTTACTGTCGGGCCAAAATGAACTGACTGAGTATCTCTGAAGACGACACCTGAACAAACATGAATTAGCACTTCGGTTTAGTCCTTGCTTGAACAGGTTGGCACGGTGGGACGCTGGAGTTGCACTACCGATGAGCTCCAATAAGAGCCAAACCCGAGTGTAGGGTTGACTGAAAGAGCTGCGGAATGTGTGTGTGTGTGTGTGTGTGTGTGTGAAGGTGAAGTCTGAAGGATAGTTACTTCAAATCAAACAAAAAGACTATTTCTCTGAGACATGAATTTATTTTTTGGCTAATATCGTTTTCACTTCCGTGAACAAACATGTTGAATTGGTGTTATCACGGTCAACAGTTCTCGGTAGAAATGGGAGTTTGCACTAACAACATACTGTCTGCAATTTGTAAATTATCAGTGAACGCGGCGAGTTCACTAAGATCCCTATTTTTGACACAACAATTCAAGAGTGATTAGTTTCATTGAAATTGACCACAGTTTTTGCCCTGCCTTAGTCTCGAAGTGTATTTTATCTATGAAGTGAGAGGTTTTTCAAGTGTCATTTGACGAGAGCTTTGGCCAGGAATCACTCTGATAATCGTGATGTTCAATATTGTCTGTCGGTTCTACCAACCTGAACAAACCGAACTTCGTAAATTCGTCACTCACTATACGGCATACCGACCCGCGAGTTCTGCACCGTACC